GCCCCAAAACCCTAGTCTAACAATTAAGGCCCCTGTTTTGGGCAGCTTGGAGTGCACCATTCAACATTCACTCAAGTCGAGTCATTCCCGGCTCTTTCCAAGTAAGCCATGTGCTGTCTTCATCACCGGTTTGCCGAGCCGATGGCTTGGGATAGAGTTAGAGTTGAGTCCTTGTTGGTGGTCGAAAGCTTGCCCAGAGAACCTCGTCTGAGCAGGTCCCGAAGTCGAGTCCGAGTCCCGGCCTCAGCTATTTCGGGCAGCGAGCGGGCTCCGCTGCCTTCGTCACCAATGTATGTTGTGCCTTGTCAGCGTCACCCCGCTGTGTACTTGCAAGCTTTTTTCCGTGAGATCGAGCTTTGCGTTTGCAGCAGATAAGCAGATAAATCAAGCAATGCAACATCAGGAAAAAGACTACTCAGTGGCTCTTTGCGAACCGGGGGATGGAAGGAAGGTGGTCAAAATAAGCCAGCGCACACCAGGCCTTCCTCGTAGCGGCTAGCACCGGGAACTTAGACTGCCATGCGCATGCGCTGGTCTCCCATAGAGGGTTGGGCGGTTGCGAGCTACACAGCTGTCCTCACCCTGGCCTTGCCTTGCAGCAGCTATCATCGCGACAATGACGACAGCAGTGTGCAAGGTTTGTGTACTGCTGCTCGTCCAGAGCAGATACCTAGACAGCTATTGGAATGCTGGATGCCTTGGCTTTGGCCATAGGCTCTGCTTGCATGGCCAGAGGCTGGAACCCTTGAACCTTTCAAGCGGGTTTGGGAAAAAGCGCTGTTCCGCTTTGGGCGCCGCAAAGCAAGGCCCTAGTCGTCGCCTCGTTGGAGGACGCCTTGCCGACTTCTGAGACTTAAGATCCGGGCTTGCTGTGCTGTAGTTTGCATACCTGTGCCAAAGGATAGCTGAAGAAGCACCGCGTTTCAAGGATGGTGGGGATCTGGGTATTTCCAGGGGTGTCGGTTTGTAGCAGTTGCACTGCAGGGCGCTTGGGGCTCGTGTGCGAGCAAAGGCTTTTCAAGAACTTGCGTGAGTCGGAACGCTCAACACTACTTACTCCTGGATCGACTCGACACCGTGAGGTGATTTGGGGAGGGGCCTTTCAGTAGTTGCTTGCGAAAGTTTGAAGAGATCTCCTTGCGAGGTCGCTGCCAGGAGTCAGTGAGAGGCTGCGATGATGTTCGCTCACAAAAGATCCGAAGGATCCCAGGGTGCAATCATTGCAGACCTGCTTTCACATGGCCTGGCGTGTTTGGCATGGAAGCAGTGGGGTGCAGGTTGGAGTGTTGTCAGGGACTTTGTAATGTCCTGTTGCAAGGCCATCAAGACAAGGAGTCATCCACTGACCCTTCTCAAGTTTTCTGGCTTCTGCCTACATGATCTAAGTCTAAAGTCCATTGTTTGTCTTGTGGAAAGTCCGGAAGCTACTTGCTGGGGCGATTCACAGAAAGTCTGTGTTCTCGGCCTTGAACGGCCATCGCTTTGCTACAGAGCAGTAGCTCGGGGTGAGATGGCAGCATATACAGCTTCGCGCAGCCCATCTCTACACCTGCAGAAAAGAAGATGGCAGGCCACCCATGGCGCGCTGCTCTTCCATGGTACTTCTGAGCCGAAGCATATTATTTTGCGTCAGTTTCCTGTTGAAGAGTGCTATAGTTTTAATCGTAATGGCCAAGATGACCCAGTTGGAACGAGGCCCTTAAAGCCATGGAGAGAAGAAGGTGTCAGGATGTGTCAGGACTGTCTCTGTCTTACACAGATATCCACATTGTACGCTTGTATACATAAATCCGCCCGCACATGTACATGTTCATAAGAAGACATGTACTTGCCAATGAGACAACAAGGCATGCTACAAAGTCTTCCCATTGCATCAAGCGTAGCAGTGTAACAAGTGAATCTCAAGCTTGGCACTTGGAACCCTTCAGCCCCGATGCAGTCAAGCCTGAGAGCAAAATTTTGGCAAGGTCAGCTAATGCAATTCAAGATCTTGAGACCTAGAGTGCACGCAGGTTGCTGGCACTCCACCACTGGAACGCGCGTTCCATTCCTTCGATCTTATCGGTCGGGCAACGCAGGATGAGGGTTGAGTCTTGTGCATGTTTCGGCATTCTTGTGGATGCTGTCAGAGAGGGTAATTGGCGGGCTTCCGGGAGAGGATGTTGGGTGGAGGCTGGGGTGCTATCGGCAGGTCCCAGACTGTCATTCTTCTCCTCTCTTCCGGCTTGAGTACTGAGGCAAGTGGGTCTTCTGCTTTGCGGGCTCTAGCCAGACCAGGCCTGGTGATGTTTGTCATTGTGGACCTGATCTGAACCTGCAACGTCCCTGTCATTGTCGTTTGTGCCGCTGGATCGCGCAACTAGTTCATCAGGGATCCCGACATCAGTAGAGTGCCAGCGCAATGCTGGCTTACTCAACAGCTAGTCCTCGTCATGGGTCACTGTGCTGCAGCATCAGCGACCTTTACATCCTCGACGCGCCGAACATGAGATGGGCACGGCCACTGTACGAGGGCCAGGCGGGCCAGTCGGGGTCGACGGAAAGTGTTTACCTCCCTTAAATGGAAGGGTATGCTGTAGGCTAGCTTCTGCAGTCGAGTCCCGAAACCCCACTTGGAAGTGGTAGCGGTGGTGTTGGCAGTAGGAGCAGGTGTTTGAGGCGTTTGGCATGAGTTGTACTCAGCACAGGGCGTAGGTGATGGTCACTATGCGTAGTGTGGCTCCGTTTAGGAACAAGACCGAGCACAGGCTCTGGAGTAGTGAATGCAATGATACAAGCGGGAGATGGGCGTAATGAGCCATTCCGCATTTCAAACAGTCAGAAGTCCAGCTCAGCCATTTCAAAACATTGCGAATCGTGTTGAACAGACACTTTCAGGAATCCCATGTTGCCCAGCACGACACAGCCAGGTGAATGCCAGAGCACATGCCTCCTCCGTCCTCCATGACAAACTGATCGTGTTTGGCGGTGTGCGAGACAAGGCGGGGAGCAGATCTTTAGGAAAAGTTGCAATCAGGCCACTATCCAATTCTGCAGTTAAAGTACAAAACCCCAATCCCCCGACCTCCAGCACGTTAGATTGACGAGCCAGCTTGTTTGCAGATCACGCAAACGTCCAAGAACGGCCCGCCGGATGTCGAGCACGGTCCCCAGCACGACCAGCTTCATTCCGAAGTCCAGAATTCGGTGGATCTTTACATGCGTATTCTTGCGTACATAGATGTACATGGGATAGGGACAGTTGTCAGGAGAAGAGGCTTACGACGAATCGAGAACTTGGCACTTCTCGTCTCGGCACGGCATGAAGAAACACAGCTACTAGTCGTAGCAGCCATGATGACCGCTGACTTCTGTTCCTTTTCGGCATCATGCTGCTCGGCTGTGCTCCATGCTCATACATCCACAACCTGCGAAACAGTAGTTCCCTCGAGACGGCCGCACATCACCCCAAAGCTCGCGTGCTCGGTTCGTCCATGAGAACACCATGATTGGTGGCCAGAGGCTCTTCAGGGAGAGAGGGCGAGAGAGAGAGAGAGTGATACAGAGAGTGTGTGTGTGTGTGTGACAGTGTGTGTGTGTGCGTGTGCGCGCGAATGTTTGCGTGTTTGTTTTTGTGGTTTTAGTGCGTCGACCAGTCCAACCGTGCAACCTGTCCAAACCTTTCGGAGCAAGTCACGAGAGCTAGCGTAGCGAGGCTTTCGTTTCGTCATTACTGTTTATGCCGCAGACCAGTAGATTTGAGGGACAGCGCCTAAGCTCTAATTACTGTAATTCCTATAAGCCCTAAACCTGAACCGTTTAAACGTATGAAACACCCTGTATAAAACGTTTCATGAATAACCCTACCCTGCCCTTCATTGCGAGGGCCCAAGCTGCAGCTTCCATCTGACCCTATTCAAGCACTTGTCAGTTGTGTCAGCAAGGCCGCACATCTCAAAGAAGCTTTTCTTCTTGAACGTGCTCGAGGCCTTTGCCTGTAGTTCAGATGACGGCCAATGCTGAACTCCTTAGACGTCCTGCTGATCATTGCTATGACGGTCATGGCTTGCACTCATGGGAAGCATTCCTTCTTCCACTGTTTCAGGCTCAAGCCACCGGGGTATCCCCCAATCCCCGGCCTTTGTGAACCGGTAGCTAACCCTTCCCGGATGTCTCTGATTCAGCCGGCGCCGGCTGTGCTGGGACCGCTCCCGCTCCCAGCCACTAAGCTCATTCCTTGGGCTTGGAGCGGACTCTGGGTTTGGGGTTTAGGGAAGTTTTGGGTTTTGGGTGGCTTTGGAGTGTTCTTGAGAGCAAAGTCAGGATCTGTGACTTGGTTCGCTGGTGTAGGCGAGTGTTTGATGTTTCAAGGCTGCGACTGTGGGACAACGAAGGCAAAACCCACTTCGGCTCAGGATCTCAACCACAAGGCATGTGTAAGTCACTTTCCGAGAAATGTCGTCCCGGCCTCTCTGTTTGGAATGGCAGTCCGAGGAATGCAGAAGTGTCTGCGTGTTCGCAGCAGCCTCTGCTGCTAATTAGCGGTAATTTCAAACTGAGCACTGGGACAAGTTCGTCTTAAAGCTAGGCATCCGAGAACATTGGGGATGGAAGGACTTGTCTGGCACAGTTGAACTCAGAAGCAACCTAGCCACGCTATGGTGCCGCGAACGCATTGTGTCCTTACCTGATCAGGTGCAGAACCAACTGAGCAAGAGCAGGAGTGACCGGAAGTTTCGGAATCCCTTCTTCAGGCATTGGTCGGCTTTCTCGTCCTTGCGCATTTCGGCTTCTGTGTCTATGCAACTCGGATGACACGGGCGATTTCCTTGTTGCCTCTGTCTGCCTCGATGCGGAGCAATGTACTCTAACCCGAGCTTCGTCGTTACTCTGAAGACCACCGACGACGAGACACTCAATAAATGAAACATGCACCGTGCTCGTCGCCTTTACGACGCGAGTAACTGCAGGTGCTTGCCACGGTGCAGTCCGACAAGAGCATGCTGATTGGACATGTTGAGGTGTCCAACACGCTTCAGTGCCTTGCTTGTATTGGTCTGAAGTTCCTGGGACGTGCGGTGTCAAAGCAGTAAATCAAGGGTCCCAGGACACTGCTCTAGGCCCCGAGCGCTTCGAGACAGAGAGTCAGACACGGGGCAGCATCGTTTCCGCCTGAAGGCCACGTTCTCGGCTTTGCACGGGATGACCTTGCAGTGGCATGTAGCACCTTGTGCTTCCGGTTCATGGTCACTTCAAGTAGCGTCCTGTGCGAAGTTCTTGCGAGCTGCTTGGAAGCGATCCCTGTGAACTCAGGTGTGCCTTCGGGGCATTCTGCTTGATCGGCCTTCCTGTTACCATCCACGCGGGCGTTGGAACTGTTTTCAGAGCGCCAGGCGTTTAGGGTTTGGAGGGAGTCGGGGTAGCTTCGGCAGCTTCACGTAAAAGATATAGGTTACATTTGGCCTACATGAAAATCTGCGAGGGTCTACGCGACGGTTGTTCGACGGTAAGTGAGCCTCGGGCTCTGCCATACCCGGATGTATCCTGTCAGAGCTCTAGAAACGGATGCACACAACACGGGGCATACTAAGCAACCGCAATGAGGTGTCATCGCCAGCAATGTTCGATGCATTCATGCATGAAATCATTTATGACTGAGGGAGGCGGGATCGTGCGTCCCAATGCCTGTTTTATGCGTGCCTCAAATGCTGCCCTTCTGCGAATCTCTGCAAGGCCACCTCTACTCCTACATCTGGTGCCTTGAGCAGATTAGATTTCAGCCCTTCGCTCTCCGCTCTTTCACTTTACACATTGCCGATATCTTGTGGTGTGCTTTGCAGTCGCATTCTGTTGTCTTGAGCGGATGTTGAGCGCTTTGCCGTGAGGGCCAGAGTTTTGAGTGAATAAGGCTAGGGGACGATTCAGGTGATGCAGCGGCATTGTGAGAACCTCCGATCTCCCTCGATTTTGCCCGGTTGACTTTGCCGCAGAAAAATTACAACAACTACAGTGCTAATTTGTGCCCGGCTGCAAGTGTCGGCAAACTCCACGACATCAATCAAAACGCTCACTTGTCCCAACCAGTGCGATCATGAAACTGAACGACTCCCAAGCATGCCTCCCAAATCCTAAGGTATCAGTTCCTGACCCTCTTGTCAGTCGGCGGCTTCTTGCTCTCCCTTGCCGTGAGCCAGCGCAGCTGCTTCACGCGGGAAGCGCGTGGTGAGGGTCTGGCCACCATGGTGTGTTGCCCGGCACTGAAATTCGAACATGCCTATGATTCTCTTTGTTGGGCGACCCTGGCAGTGGAATTGATGTTAGGGGTTTCCCTGCCAGTGCATGTGTGTGTGTGTGTGTGTCTGTCTGTCTGTGAGAACCTGCATTTTGCACGGAGCGAGGTGGCCTACCAAACATTACCAGCATGGTCTTCCTGGCGATCTTCTCGCTTTCCATGAGCGTGGCCATGTGCCCCATCGGCTGCGACCTATAACGAGCTTCAAGTTCAGATGATGTCGCAGAGTCACTGCTGCATGTAAATTAATGCACTGGCAGGTACTTCGTTTGGTCCCTCGGTGAGATCTACAAGGGGCGGTTGGCGACCGACCTCTTCCGATACCAGGACAGCGTCGGGTCTAGCTATAGTCTAGAACAAGTGGCACCTAAACGGCAACTTCAAAGAGCAAAGAGATCTTCGACTTGACCTGTGCTTCGCCAAACAATCGCCGGGCACCCTGTCAGTCTTATGACAAGCACATCCTGGCACCCCACTGCACCTGTAAACCTGAGACCCATGCCTCGTAGGCTTACGTACACTCTTGAGCCACAGTTTTGTCCTGAGACCCTGCTTCTGCCCTTCCGAACATAAGCACAGCATGTTCTAAAGACCTCACCCTTTCCCTACCTTTGCGCGAGACACCCGATTCACCGAAACCCTCCTCTAAGCCGCTCCTAAACAAAAATTAACCCTCTAAGCAACCCTGGAAACAGCCCTAAACCCGCTAAGCCCTGAAGCGCAGGAGCCTTTGCAGCTGAAAGCACAATTGGGCGAGGCAGGGGCCATTTTGAGGGGTCCTCTAGAGACAAGGTAGAACGTGAGGGCTTCCTACTTGGGCTCCTGACACGATCTTACGAGGTTCCTATGTAAGGTGCATTACGAGGGTTCCCATATGAGGGCTCTCAGGGTCCGGGAAGGAGCACTAGGAGAGCTACTGTCAAGGCTTCTGTGTTTTTGAGGAGTTCCCTGTCGTCGTCTTGATGGAACAACCTGCATCGTAGACTCCGGCTGCAGTGTTCCAGGCTGTGGGATGACTTGACCTCTAATTTAGGATTAGAATGCAATATAACATAACACAACATATAAGATCATGTAGTAGCATAGAGTAGAAAAGAACAGAACAGAATGCTCTAATGGAAGATAACATAATACAATGTAATCTGATGGAATATGATATAATGTGGTACCTGGTCATATCATAGCATATCATATCATATGATATAGTATAACATTCTAAAATATAGAGTCTCAGTGCAGAAAGTAAGCCCGACCCAAAGTCCCAAGTTGAAGCATCAGCATTAGGGCTTCGGGTTTAGGGTTCCGCAGCCTTACATGGACGTATGCGTCTCGCCCACGAATCACCGAAACTCCAACTCTCAAACACCACGTGCCCGAGGAGGCGGCAGCGCAAGCCGCCCAGAATGCTCAAGCCGCAGCTGCCGCAGTGCCTCCGCGATTGAAGACACACATGGAGGGTTCGAAGAGCTGAGGGCCTCTCAATAGGGTTTAGGGTTTGGGGTCGGATGAGAGGTCCTTTTTGCTCAGGCCTTCAGTCCTACGCTTCAGGGTCTATACCCCAAACCCTAAATCGTAAACCGTAAACCCTAAACCCTGAACTCTAATCCTATAGGCTATAGAAACTCTCCGCACAAGGCCTCGGGCTCAGAGCTGAGGGCATTCGATCGTCTAGGCGCCTTTATGAGGAGTTCGGGGCTGATAGTGTTTGGGACTGCCACGAAAAGCCCCCCGATGCGAGCACAGCAGCACAAAGTCCGACAAGCATCGGGCCCTCCTAAAAACCCTAAATCGAAGCCGTGCCAGTTAAATGTCCGAGCTCTGTCGTGTCAGAAACCGCGGCGCCCTACAAAGCGAGCCCCAGCCTAAACCAAAGCCCATGTAGCAAAGTAGAAAGAATAGAGAATTCGTGTTTGTCGGCATTTGTCGGTCCGAAACAGTAAGCCTGCAAGGCCCCATGCCACTGATCCCAGAGATGAGCCTTGGGCCCTACAAATACGAAAACCACAGTAGTGAAGACTATCAGCGCCATCCATAGCAAGAACACAACTGCCCGACTAACGCGAACATCAAAATTGCAGCAATGATCCCGACGATCACCATGAGAAGGCACATCGCATGGGTGTACCTGGTGCGCTTTGGAGCCCTGGTGCTCTGTGAGACTGCCAAAGAAGCACACGGAAGATAGCAGGATGCGCAATAAAAAGGGTGCGGCATAAACAATTACCAATATTAATATTATTCCTTAGGGTGGTTCCTCGTCAGAATATTGGTATAATATACCCCAAGACCCTAGTCATTACTCGCAGATGCCCTAAACCGAGAAACTTCCCTGTCAGATGTTGGATTCCTGCTTGGAAAAATACGATTTAATGCTTCGCCTTCTGAAATCCATATGCAGCAAGTTGTAGATACTCTCCTTGCGCGTTTGTGCACACATTCTCTGAGGATGCATTAGGGTCCTTATAATAAGGATCCTATTATTTAGGGTACTATATTAGGGTCCCTTACTTTCGGAAACCCCCATATGGCATATGGGGGTTTCCGAAAGTAGGGGACCCTAATATAGTACCCTAAATAATAGGATCCTTATTATAAGGACCCTAAAATAAGGTACCCCAATTTTCGGAAAGCCCGATATGTCGTCCTTTGTCTCTCTCGTCGTCGCCAGGCTTTCGCCTGCGTCCCCCCCCCTCCCCCCCAGACCTTATCCTAGTCATTGAGGCCCCTGTTTGCTAATATTACCCTCTTCTAATAATCAACTGGGCCCTTGTTGGATGCACTTTTACATTTTTGTTATAATAAATAAATCCCAACAAGGATTAAGCATGATCATTGTTAATATAGCCCCAACAAGGAACCAGTCCCCGATTGTTTTTCCGGTTCGGGGAAGCCGTGAAGTCTTGGAGCCTGGGGCTCTCCACACGAGCCAACAGGGTCAGAGCCGAGGTTTGCAGGTGCACCAGGACCCCCCCAAGTAGCCTTTGATAAACCCGTTAAAGGGCCCTTGATAGAGGGTATCTGGGGTATCATGAGGGTAGTTGCGGGTCTAGGTGGGCTTAGTGTAGGGGCCTTCATCATGAGACAGGGTGGTGTTTTTTGGAGTTAAATGTCATCATATTCGGGCCGCTAAGGGGATACTATTGGAAATTATTCTGACCCCTTTACTACCACAAAATCCAGTCGCTCATGCCCAGTTCCGAAACTGTGAGCTCGCCGCTGCAACCATGAGGGAAGAAAAAAAACCGTAAGACCATGTGATAGTTGAAGTGGTCGGGGCGCTGCGGGCGACCACAAATCCTGGAACCCCGCAATGCTCATGAGCCCCAGGCTTTCCCCACAAGCTCAAGGGCCTTCGAAACCAATGACAGAAGGGTCCTGTCGGGATGCAGGTCAAAGGTGGCGTCTCCGAGGGCGACTTTAAGTTTAAGCTCGTCACCGTGGGAGACTCCGGGGTGCGCCAAGATCTCTGCGAGTGAAGGGGATCTTTGGGAAGTTCCTAAAACCGATTAAGCATGTCAGAGTCTCAGATAACGGGAGAGGGTTCTGTAGCAGTCTTTGGCTCCAGCTTGCTTGGAGCCTTGGAGTTTGGAGTACCAGAGAGTCTGTGCAGCTCAAGATTCGGCTAAGGAAATTACCTGAGCCTTGGCATCTGGCATTTTGAGGCGTTTTCTCTTGGGCTCGGACAGTTCTCAGAACTTCGATCTTATTTTGGGGGCACAAGAAGCTCATGTCGTTGAGTCAACTCCCTTCCCAAATCAAGCTTCTTCCCACCATGGTGCGACATGCAACCTAAACCCGAGCCGGGAAGCCCCTCCTGAAGCCCCGCACTTCCGGACTTCCAAAAACCAGCGGGTAAGGCTTGATCACGTCGTCGTGAAGAGGTGTAGACGATGCTGTTAGCCACGCTGTGAGGTCTGTAGGGTCAGAGGGTCAGGGTTTCGCATGCAGATCGTACTCGTACCGTGTTTATAGGGGTCTAGACGAGAAAACGTGGAGTGCTGCATGAGACCATATGAGAGCAGTTTCTAAGCTTATTCCACATGTCAGGCGCTCAGACAGCAGACTGACATGCATGGCCCTTCATGCAACACTCGCCTCCATGTTTTTCATTTTTGATACAAACAAAGTTCGAGATATAGGGCAGGCAGTCTCCCTGTCTCGTAACATCCCAGTGCCCCCAGATTTAGATGCTCCTTCTGCTTCTGCCAGGTTGGAAAGTCCTGCCTATTGACTCGGTTTGTACAGGACATTCGGGGAAGGAACCTTTCAAGGATTCAAGCAATGTTTTTGCGGACTACTGGAGAGCTCCAGCTACGGCTGATGCATGCAATATAGGGGCCTTAGTGATTAGAATAGGGTTTTTGGGGGCCCGTCGTACTATATAATGATAATGAGGAACCCCCCAAAACTACCAATGGTAATTATTTAGGCCCCTACATTAGTTTCTCTGCATGCACTTGCTTCATGCGAGCGTCGCTTGAAAGCTGAAGCATGAAGTGAATCTCTGCAGGACTATTACTCCGACTGTCATGTGTCTACTATCGGCGTGGATTTCAAGACCGTCGCTAACTCAGGGCAGCATTGAGATGCATGTTCATGCTGTAGCGCAGCATCGTAAAACTCAATGGGCTGTCGCTGTGGTTTCTGACGGTAGGCTAGATTCCCGAAGTCAAAGTTCCCACAGCTCTCGGCCCATAGCCACGGCGTTGTCGAGGTCGTCACCATGGTGAAGGGACGGTTGGTGAAGCTACAGCTTTGGGACACGGCCGGGCAGGAGCCAGCACTGCTCGCATTGGTTCCGAGGGCTCAGAAGTGTTCTCTGCGTGCAGCACGACAGCAACCCTGGAAGTTCAGGCAGTTCGTGACTTCGGACAGGAGCGCTTCTCCGTAGTCACCGGCAACTACTACAGAAACTCAGACGGTCAAGCGCTCAGTGATATGTACATGGGGCTTGCTGAGAGGAGTCCCTTGCAATCCTTGGCTAGAGCTTTTGCTGTAGAGGCTGCCATGCTGAGGCACAGGCATAGAAGGTGTCGCGCAAGCAGGTTATCGTATTTGCAGAGTTCAGATCACAAAACCCGGAAGCCTGGCCCAAGGCTTCATCTTCGTCTATGACGCCACAAGTCGCGTGGCGCCCTCACTGCTGCCTTTAGGCGTATTTCATCTAGAGCATGCCTGCCGAGCCATGCCCGCATACAACCTTGTAGCAGTATCACCTATGGACAGACTCACAGTCTGTGGCGCTCACGAGCCGTGTTGCGAAGCTCGTGCCTTATGCAGTGTGAAACTTGTGGTGCTAAGTTCCAACCTGTTGTTATACTGCATCTAAGATCTTCATCCGTGCGTCCTAACAGACGAATAAGACTACTTCGCACTGTCATCGTGATCATCTTCATCGTTATTGTGATTGTGGCAGCATCGGCATCAGTACCGGCGGAGATAGACAAGCTGGCAACCGACTATCAATCATAGGATTTTCGAGTAAGACAAGCATTTACCCGAACAAGCATGAGTGCAAGATGGCTTGTATTTTGGCCGTTGCAGCTGCAGCATGACCAACGTCAATACTCCAAGCAGCAGTTATAAGAGTGATACTGCAGCATAGCCATTCAAAAAATTCGCAATTTTTTATGTATATATCTGGCCACGCATATATACAGATGCATACACTCATCCGTCGTTAGCTCTGTTACATAGTTACACATGTTGGTCGACGTATAAATACTTGTTTTGTTTCCATTGTGCCTTGACCTGTTTGTCACGTCTTCACTCAGGCCTGGTCGTGTGGGCATGTAGGAGCGGGGCATCTAAGAAGAGAGTCTCCACTCGAGTTCCTCTGAAGCGCCCGGTCCTGCTGCCCCGGCTCGAGTCCATCGCGGCCAGCGCCGAAGGCGCTTGACAGTCGCGGGCTGTGTACCAAAGCTGATACGCCCCTGGCCCTTTTGGCAATGGCGCTGTTAAACCCTGTAAGCCATACCCACCTGACCTCAACACAACAATCTTACCTCCTTCTACCCCGAACCCCAGGCCCTAACTTTACGAGACACTGGGAACTGACGAAGGAAAGTGCGTAGTTCGTCTCGCGCATCCCATGGCAACACGCCATGCCCGAGTGGTGCGATTCGGAAGGCACTGGAGGGAATGATTGGGACAGTGCCGCACTCCAGTCTGTCGGTAACTAGTCGACAACGGCAAGTGTGCGTGTAACCGTGTCCGCTTTTCAAGCTTACCTACACAGCCGAGCCCCTTTCGACACAAGTCACGTGCCCACTTGTTGTTGAAGGTAATTTGACAGCAGATGCTGTCAACGTGCGGGATGAGCTTTGCCGGCTGTGGCAGCCTCGGGCAGGTCAAGCCAAAAATAAGCAGATGCTGTTTGCAGGGTCTTCGGTGTAGCGGCACAACAGGCTTCAGTTTAGCAAGTTTTAGCAAGTAACCCAGACAAGGTCAACGATGAATGCCGCTGACATCTTCTTTCCTGAGTGCTTCGCGCAAGAATGTGCCCAGAAACGAACCCTAAACCTTGAGTTTAGGGGACTATCCAATAAAAATTGAAGCCCTTCTAAAGCCGTCCTCCGGATTCTCCCGGCTCCAAGGCTCCGAGACCGCGGCGGAGGAAGCCTCCTCCGAGGTTGGAGGCGGCAGCCGTTTTGGGTATCCTGCATGCTACATATAATATATATATATATATATAATAATAATAACAATAATAATAATAATAGTAATAATAATAATAATTATTATTATTATATATTATATTTAATATAATAGAATATAATATTCCATATAATATAATATAAGAAAAATGTAACATAACATAATATAATATAATATAATAGGGGAAGAAGGAGCTCGCAAAACTTGACAGGAGCCTGACAGGACCAGCAGGAACGGTCAGGATTGCGGGGCTGGTCAGGGCTCTGAGTTCGACAGAGAAGCTGAGCAGGAACGAGCTGGACCCGGAGTTCCTTCAGAGCGTGTCGCGGCAGGACTGGGTTCAGCCGGACATCTTGTGCCTGATTCGGGTGGCCATGATGAGGTCCGCGTTTGAGCACAGTAGCCCCAGTCTCGAGACTACGCAGAAACAGCTTGAGCCACTCGAAAACCCTACACCAACCCGATTTTTGGAATCCGGTCGCCTTCAAAGCTCACAGCTCGAGGACGTTGTTCGGGCGGCACTGTCCTTTGGAATGCAGAGCTCAGAGGCCGGGTTTGGGAGCATGTTCAGTTGAGCTCGAGTCAGCCTCGGAAACCGAACAGTCACTAATACACTAATACGATCACATGATTAGAGTATGCCCTCCAGTGTTGCTGGTCCTCCAGCTTCAAAGCTTTGCCTCGCTCGCCCCTCGTGTTCTGCGCAACGTAATAACGGGAAAGAGACAGCGATTCGTTTGCGAGCGGCTTTGCAGGATGACCTCCACAGATTCACAGAACAGGCTACGAGTGTGGGCCCAAGGACAGCCATCCCTTTGTCCTTTTGGGTCAGTTTGGTGGCTCGAGGTACTGGGATGCTTGCCGTTATGGACCTGGACCGTCAGGCCGGACCCCAAGGACGGTGCCTCCCAGACCCGCGAAATGCAGGGCCGCTTCGAGCATTTTCAAAAAGGGTCCATTGGCCTTTAGAGGAAAAGGCGAAGCATCGTCTCGCTTTTTTGGGATATCTTGTTCAAGCTGCAACACGAAGCCTGTCTTAAAGCCTCACGCCCGGAAGACCGCAATCCTCGCCACGCGTTTCAAGCGCTGGGCGGCGACCCACGGCCCCTTGAGGCAGACACTGGTATAGTAGCTGGGGATATGCGGGAAACTGAAGTTCCGTGGCATTTGCAGAGCCAGTCGAGCTGAAGTCGCATCGCACCATGCCGCCGCAGGGACGTGGGTCTGAGTACTTTCACCACTTAGTCAAGTCTCTCCGAGGGTAGAGATCTCTCTTGTCTCACTGCGCATTGCCCCGGGGAGGCAACTCTGCTTCGGCGCAGACAACGTCGTAGCCCAGTTGGGGAAGGCCTTTGATGAACTTCAGATCCTGTTCATCCCTGCTGGAAGCGACAGTGCCGACAAGGATGCTGACAGCAAGCATGTATAGGTTGGAAAGGCATCAAGGCCAGTAAGCAGTCAGCAACAAACACCTGAAGGCGTAACTTTTCAGACCGTGTATGACAAGGTGGTTCTGCAGGCTGACTTCGTAGCCGTGTGCCGAAGGCCAGGATGCAGTGTGAGCATGGCACTGCTGAAGCAACAGATCGCATGATGTAGAAGATGTTGTATCCAAGTATATATTTATGATGACATGGCCAATGTATCATGCATTCCTGCAACCTGTCATGAATTCCTCCAACCATAGAATTCTGTCAATTCTAGCCTCACCACTGCGTTCAACTCAGTTTTAGCGCGATGCAATATTCGTGTGGACTACGACTCAGCCGCTCCGCTACGGGGGAAAACATGCAACGAGGACCGGCTTCGATGCTTCAGACGAGGACTTCACCGAGCTCTACGGCACTTTGGCCGGACAAGACCGAAAGACTATCAGAAAAGACATCGTGCGTCTTGGAGGCTGATGGCTCGGACGTCTTCTGGGCTTGTACAGCGTGCCACAGTGTGTCGATGACCTGCTTGTACTATGACTGCGAGTGCGAGGACCCCACCGAGCCTCTCAGGGAATTATTCCGTTGAAGCCATCAGGATCATTGACAACCGCACGAAAGGCCACAAACAGAACCTACAAATCAAAGTAGAGATTTGTGTTGTAGGTATGCTTCTCTCCTCATATTGGGAGTTAGCAGTGTGCAGTCTCCTCCCCTTGTCGAGCGGACCTTGACTATGTCATTTTCGTTCTGCCGCGCACTGCCCCCGAAGGCTTTAGCCCTCTGCACTAAACAGCTCGTGTGCTTTCAATAAAACGTACATGTGGGCCCTTACACCTTACAGTAGAGGCTGAGGTGAAAGTAGACAGGAGCGGCAAACAACTCGACCGCCCAGGCCTGTGTGATCCTTCCGAATCAGGCATCCGCCCAATAGATCTCCTGCTCCTTGACTTGTTTTGGAAGGCTCTTCATGATTTGGAGTATCGACTTTCCGGCTACTTTCTGGGCAGACGCTTCATGGGTTCGAGGAGAACTGCCTGGAGGTTTGTGCTTTTGTTTTGGTTGCTCGTATGCACAGGGTTTGCATTATGATGAGTTTCTAGTCTACTGGCATTTTTTCTAGACTTTCTCCTTGTACCCCCCCCAAAGCCTATCGAATCATTAAGTGCCAGGCTGCTAAGACCGGAGCTCTGCCTTTGAGGTTCCTGGAGCCTGATCCACAGGTCAAGGAGCAGGAGGAGAGGTTGCGAATCGGCTGGGGCTTGGTGGCTTTGTTGTTCACGGGCCTAGCTTATGGATGCTCGTCTGTAGGCATTTGTAGGCGATAGGGCGTAGGAATTAGTTAATATCTTAAGAGACTCAGCCAGCAATCGAGACCATCTGCTCTAAACTTGGGATCCCTTTCAGACGCCTGTGTTACCAGTAGTTCCCCAAAAGAATACCAAAGATCTGCATGAAGCAGGACTACCATGAAAGGAAACATGAGGACAGGATGAGCCCGGGCATCTTGCCTTGGCACGAAGGAAAAATCATCTAAAGCGCGAATTCCCTGCGAATGCCCGACCAGGAGCAGCGGCTCAGAATTCTGCGTATGGGCCAGCGGGACCGGCCCGGCCACATGAGGGCGCAGGGGTCGTACTTGTCGCTCAAGAATCTCGACCAAGAGAAGAGACCATTCGACGACGCAGGGGGTCGCGATGTGAGGGCCAACGCGTAGTGACGTAGTGACGGCGTAGTGAGCGAGTCAGGAGCAGAAGCAGCACTTGATGGCAGAGGTCTTCCAGGAGGACTGCTCCCAAGCCACAGTACAATAATGCGAGCAGAATCAATCTGTTTCTATTTGCGTTTTGTTTGGGGCAATTTCTGACATCCAGCAGTTTAGGATGTCAGACCATACTTATGCGATTTCAAGATGCTGCGCACGACGTTTCATCATCAGGAGAAAGCACGGCAAGTATCGGCAAAGCATCGGCTCGCTCCGAGGCGGGAGCGCTGTCTCATCTAGAGTTGCCTCCTTTGTCGTTGTCTTGAGCTCGTTCTTCTCACTGGGATTGGGTTCTAGGTTTTAGAGATTCAGGGCATGTTAAGGGTGTCGGGATTCTCGCTCTCGCGTTCTTCTTCTCCCTCTCTGCCCTCTCTCCGCGTCCGACAAGACCAATCTGTTCAGGTGCCATGATCCGAACAAAAAGACAAATAGCAGCAAAGAAGCAGATGTCCTCCCTGCTACAAGCGCTAATTTCCT